AACAAGCATATATTACAATCGATATAAAACACAATAAAATAATCGAACCCACGTCTAAATAGTAAAGAAAACGTCGCCGTCTCACATAAAAAAATAGCGTTTAATTCTAATTATAGAAATCATTCAAAGCCTATATATTCAATACTTCCCGTAAGGTTTAGGTACATTAAAAAACCTGTTCCTATTGTTTATTTATGTCTCTATGGAAATTTATTATCTAAACTTTGGTCATAGGTCTAAAGCCATATAAAAAGTTAATGAGCCGCGTTAGGGAGTCACTCACTATATAGTATGTTTATGTATCGATAAATTATTAAAAAAAGTGCGTGTGTGTGCAAATCCACACACGGTAGAAGTGAAATTTCAGAAAAGTAACCTACGATAGAATGAGATTAACATAGAGTATCAGCAGTAGGAGAATTATAAGGGGTTTTTTTATAATATTTTTAACAAGTTTAAAAGTTATTTTACATTTTATTCCACATGGCAATGTGTTCTATCTAATTCTTTCACCAGCTTAGTCTACACATTCTTATATTAAAATTTTAACTAAGCCGAATCTGTACATGAAATATTTTTTGGAAAATCTTATTGCAATAGACATTATTATCGATACAGAGGCCGAATGTATAGTTATTAGAATTTTTGTCTCTCTGTCTGTCTGTTACCGCATCACGGAAAACCCACTGAAGGGATTTTGATGAAATTTGGTATGATGGTAGCTGGTTATACGGGTCAACATATAGGATATAGGACTTTTTAGTGCGGGAAAATATCTCATCTCTGAGAAATCTATACTAAACGTTAAAACGTTAGTAGGGACGAACCCGAGCGTAGCGAGGGTGAGTCGCTAGTCCTATATATTTATGTGTGTCTCTTTTTAGTGTTGTATTTCCGTTTCATCGAATTTCAAATAACACCGATTCTAAAGAAGTTTCACTTCAAAAATGATATTGTAGATGGGTTTCAAGAGGACGTTGAAAGATTTAACCCGCCTATGTCTACTTATAGAACATAAGCCATGCATATTAGAGGCTTCATCTTGGTTGCACACACTAATTACGCATATGTCGTAAACATTTCTGTATAAGGTATGATGATGATTTTCGATTTAAGTTTGAGTTTGAATTCAAATATCACTTTTACAAGTAATTAGAATTATAATGGCTTCAATCTCAATAAATAATATTAATCGACATCTATACATATTATAATAAAATTCTAACCGAGTCGCATTTGTACATTAAATATTTTTTTGGAAAATGTTATTGAAATAGTGATTATTATCGATAGATAGGCCGAATCTATAGTTTTTAGAATTTTTCTCTCTGTCTGTCTGTCTATGACCGCATCGCGAGAAAACTACTGGACTGATTTTTATAAAATTTGGTATGTTAATAGCTGGCTACCCGGGTCAACATATAGGATACTTTTAACTGCGGGAAAATATCTCATCTCTAAGAAATCTATACTGACCATTAAAATGTATCTAAGAACAATATGATTGGGTAGATGACACCACCAATCAATTGGCATACTTTTTATGAGCTGTCCAAACGCGATTAATCCATACATGATGTATGGCAATAGCGTGACGTTCTTATTTGTCAACCCAATTAACTGTTTATTGATTTCAAAGCAGCTAAAAATCCAATTTTACAGTTAATTGAAAATTAATTGTATTTTCAGGGCTAAAATAGACTATTTTCTTAGAGAAGCTACTGCTTACTATTGGTTGATATTCACGTAGGATAACAACATATTTGTACCATTGTAACATTATTGTAGTGCAATATTGTAAATTAATATTTTATATTAAAAAAAGCCTTCCGATGGTAGGTTCCTTACGGATTTATAATGAAATTTAATTTAAATTTAAAATGTAAAATTGACGGTTCAAATGTGCTTGTAAAAGTATGTTGATTTTTGAAAAACTGTGTCATAAAATTACTGATGGTGTTAATTACCTAAGTAGTAAAGGAGAGGTCACACGTTTGATTTTAAGGAAGTCATATGATGCTTGAATTTAATACAAGAGACTCTCTTACAGTTTGTATTTTTTGTCTATATATTGACAACTGCAACGAACAATACTATAACAGAGTTATGTAGCAATTTAGAGGCTGGACTTGACTTAACTGAAATATATACCTAATATATGAGAAATCTATCTATATTTTAATTATCTTAATACCGAGTTGTAATTTAGCTTCTTGCAGATATTGATGTGATTAATTTGTAACAAATTAGTTTTTTCATATTTGCTTTACAGTTCTTTTTGTCAGTCACATAATTTACCTCATCGTGAAGAAACCTGCATGTTTGAGAGAACCTAGCAATTTTTCAAAAGACATGTGAAGTCCGCCAAACCGCACTTGGCCAGCGTGGTGGAATATGGCCTGATTCCCCTCGTACTGAAGGGAGGCCCACCCCCAACAGTGGGATCTTAAAAAGGGCTGAATACAATAATTTACCGTCTTAAAACGTCGATGAAACCAATGTTTAGTTTAAGTATAAAATGAATACTAGTTATACTCGTATAGAGGCGGATAGAGTTGCCGAGAATTAAAAAAATGCTAAAGTAAAAACCACACACTAAGTTCTTTTCATTTATCCTAGGTTGAGATGAAGGAGAAATGAACGTGACTAATGAAGAACAAAAAAAAGGCAAAAAATTAGATTTTTAGTATACTTATTTTAATACTAAGTTTTTAGGGTGTTTTTTTTAATAATAAAACTAATAGTATTCCCCGACACACTCCAATTTTCGGCCAGTAAGGTATCTCATCTCTAAAAAATGAAGAGTAAAATATATGATAACTTCATAAAGAGCTAGAAATTGTTAAGTCACTTTCTGCTATTTTCTTATTTCAATGACAGAAAAAAACTTTGAGAGCTTTATAAAAGCGAGCTACAAATTATTACATAAGCTTCCATCAATTTTAATGGTCCAGTGATCTAGACGTGCTTTAGGTCAAATTAAGAACAAAAGTTGGCAGTTCTGTATTGCATTTAGACGTCGATAGAATCATGATAGCGAAGAGAAAGGCAGACCAACATACACTGGCTTAAATAAAGCGTTTTGTAACAAAGTTCTCGTTTGCGTAACATTCGTTCTAATAACTTTCAAACTAACCTCGGTTGTATAGAAAACTAAATCCTGGACAGTCAACGGCTGTCTGAAAACCTTTTAGTAATGGCTTTACACACCTTTTGTATAGAACTTTATAATATAAATGTATGCTTTATTGTTCAAGCGTATGTTTTTGTAGTAGTTTTACTAACATTTTTGAAGTGAAACTGCTTTGTGCGCTTGAGAGTAAAATTTTAAGGTCGCGCCACGAGAAATCGTCACAAAGAACCGTCACGGTTGCCATAGTAACCGCTTCCCCCAGGTGGTGATGTGGGGCTCACCGGCTAGAAGATCCGGTACTACCCACTAAAACCCGACATCCCTTCCCCCCGCCTTAGTGGGACGCCGCAGGATCGCTTGCGCATAACTACTACGGCGCCCCGGCGGCAGGTCTGCCTAAATACTAGGCAGACCACCAAACCAATGGGGCTGCTCCACAGTCAACTCTGCTACGTCAGAGAGGTACCCGGAGCAGCCCCATAAAACCAAAACACCGCCCACCGAAGTGGGCCACCTCCAATCGGCTGCAGAGGACAGGGAGAGCGGCAACGAAACACCGACACTCCTCTTCCCCTGCAACCCCACCGCGTCAGAGCGGGACATCCTGGCACAGGTATCTATTTACTTAAAAGGATGTCCCAACAACGGACTTATCGTATTTAAAAACTCTTTTTTATTATTAATCATTTTTTTTTCATAAATAACCAATGAAATTTCACTTCTAATACGTTTCTATAGAATCTTTTTTTCTAAAAATTAACTACTAGTGCTAAGTACAGTAAATGGGCTACCAATTTATAAGATTCCCGCTTAGAAAACAAAGTGAAGCGAGTTTCATCACGCGGTATTCGTGTAAAAATCTCATTTTAACATGATGTAAAAGAAATTATATTAAAAACATGTATGGGCAAAAAACATGTATATATATATGAAAAACCTAACTGTTAATTTTCGACAATAATGTGTAGCCCATCTACCCATGTTTTCCCTCGTATTGCCGGGGAAGGCCCGTGCTCAGCAGTGAGATGTTAAAAAAGCTAAATTATTGTTATTATTCTAGAGCTAAATAAAACTACAGTGTTTATCTAAAACCTTCTATAGTTGATATGTTACACATGTTGTTAGTACACATCGATCAAAAAAATTCTAAAGACACAATCAACGACAAAAAATATCCTTACCGAATGAGCGCTCATTTGAACATTTGAGCGCGCTGTTATTATTATTTTTTGTGTAAACAACTTTCAGCATTGAATTTAAAGATCAATTTACAATGTTGTATATTTATTTTAACTAGAATAATTACCTAAACACAATTTGTGACAGTTTTAAGAGAACTTTTGCATGTGATTGCGTGTGTGAAATGTTTGCCTTTTTTTAAATCATTGTACTATTTATTCACATTTGGCGGCAAATGCCATATTGGCAAAAGCAACCATCTACGGCCTAATCTCAATATTTAATTCGATAATAGTCCCTATGTATTCAGCCCTTTTGTAACGTCCCACTGCTGGACACGAGCCTCTCTTCAATACGAGTGGGATCAAGCCATAGTCTACCACGCTGGCAATGTGCGGATTAGCAGACTGCACATGTCTTTAGAAAACAGGCTAGGTTTTTTCTGACATGCAGGTTTCCTTACGATGTTTTCCTTCACCGTAAGACAAATGATAATCATGTTGGTAATGATTAGCACATGACAATATCAGAAGTGCGAGACCCGGTATTTGAGCCCGCGTCACTCGGTTTCTCTAGCGAACGCATTACCACTGAGCTACCACTATCATAGTCCATATATGATGGTTATTTGAAAGCCATATAAGTCCACTTAAAAGTTAAATCAAAATAACTCGAGTTTTCAGTGTTATAACCTAAGCATTACCTAACATTAACAAACACTATTGAAATAATCTGATTAAACACTACGTAATTCAATTTTATTATGTTGAGACGATTGCATATAGAGAATAATTCTTCGAGTTAGTTTTAAAATTGCAAAATATTGTTAGAAGTTATAATAACCACTTGCTTATTTATTTCGAAAGAATGGACCTTTCATTTTCTAAAGGTCACCCTTTTTGAATGTCAACTTGGTTTCCTGTATTGAACTAATCATAGTAAGTGTTCAGTGATTTGTGGGATGTATAATTATTGTTCTAATGTCTTGTTTGTTCTCTGGCACATAAATCAAGCACTCAGTTGATGTAAATGAATGATAGAAATGCATATTATTATTAACTGCATGCATTCGTCACATAGACGTTTAGAATGCTTGCAATTTTATATAGAATATGTAGTATATTTCAACAAACATAATAATATATTTTTTACATTTTATATCGTTTTTCTCAAACATACAATTTTTTTTTCGTTATACAAAAAATCTACAAATAACAGTCTAATTGTATGTAGTTATAGCCAGTCGCCCATGGAATACCAACATGCATTTACTGATGTTGCTTACATCAAAGAAACCTATACTCAGAACTGTCGAGCGAATAAAATTTTATGACCAAAATCATAATTATCTGTATATAACGAAAATATTTCAAACTCACCTGAGCAACAGCGTCCAAAGCCATCCTCTCGATGTCGACGTGGTAGAAATTAAGTTGAGGCACGTGCCGTCGCCTCGGGCGGATGTCATCGTAATATGCGACCACATCATTGATAGACACCACCGGGCAGTCGTCCACGGTACTGCAGCCACTACTCACCCCATCTACTCCACTATCAGAATCCCCCTCACATAACCCTTCCTTCGAATCCCGTCTGTCCCCGAAACTCGTCTCTGAGCCTTCTTGATAACCAGATTCGTTCATATCATCAGTGATTATTTCTGGTATCTTCGACTCGTATTCGTAGCCGACTATTTCGTCGATATTTGTTTCGTCAATGTCGGCCATGTTGTAAACAAACACTTTTGTTAACGAATCTCCACTACATGGTATACCCCCGTTCACACTAATTGAACCCTGTTGACAAAATTTAGCTATTAGTATTGTTAATCTCACTATATTTTTTATTGCAAACGATAGTATAGCTCTGTCTCAAATCAAAATGCTAACTGCTAACAAATTTTGATGATACTTTCTCGATTGAATAACAAAAGTTTGCAGCTATAACTAGGCGATTATATTCGAATGGCTTACATCATAATACGAGCAAAATCACAAGTCATCTAAAGCTTATAATATCGCATATCCTGATAAATCAAACACGATTAAAGTGTGCGTGCGCAAATATTGTCAGTAGATTTTCAATTAAATCGATTTAGCTAGAACTGGCAAAAAATGTTGGAAAAAAAACGTGTCTCGTCTTTTGTTGGCTAGGCGAGTGTACTACGATGGGAGTGTTGACGGACGATACGCGGCTGTTGACTTTCGCTCTCCTCTAAACGTAACCGACATAGTGACCTCATGACAACGGCTGAGTTCAATACAGGTTTTTCACCAATAAACAAGAATTTCTTATAAATTGGAAGTATTTTATAACGACCGGTTTTAGTGGCAGGTGAGTCGCTATTAAAATGTCGGTCTGTACTTACTAAATATGGCTTCGTTGACTATGAAACGTATAAATAGAAAATAGACGTTTACGTTCTCATGGTTTGTAAGAGTTCTATGCACTGTTGATATTATAAAATTTCAACTTGAAAATATTTACGTTTCAATTTGGGAATTCCCGTTGAAAATATGTTATTTTAATATATTTCGCTTTAAGATAAAAATGTCCATTTAGTGACTTATATTTAAAAAAATATTTTCGTATTTTTTATTATTCATCAATACTGAATATCAATTAATTTAGGCAATTTAAATATATCAACGCCATTGACCCCAGCAACTAGGGCATTTGATGATACAAGTATTATTTACATTTTATAATTATCTAATGTTTTACCCAAGAACTAAATTGACTTGTTTTTTTAAATGACTCTTTTCTTTTAGCCTAATTTAGTTCCCACAATTTTATTAAATAAAAATACACCCGAATTGATCACCTCCTTTTTGAAGAAGTCGGTTGAAAATTAAAAATATAAAAATAATATCATCCTTATACTTTTAAAAACTACTATCAGCCATTGTAGGATGTAATCTTGGATAAGCCCTCACAGAGTTGAATGAGGCAGAAGAGAATCAGCTATATAATTTGTAGCCGGAAGACCATTCTACTTTCAGGCAAACAGCTGATTATTATCTCGCTCATATCATGTAATCGATATTGTGTTATCTAACAATAGATTAAGTGGAAAGGCAAATGGTCTAAAATAAACGACTTCTAGGAAATAACGACAACATTCATGGATAAATTAAATGTGCCGTGTATGAAAAGTAATTAGGTGTTTGCCAAACAAATATATCTTCGGTATTCATAACTGACAGTTGTTCATTGTATATATATGTACATATAATAAAATTCTGAGTCGAATCTGTACATTAAATATTTTTTGGTAAATCTTATTGAAAAATATAACTATTATCGATACAGACAGAGGCTTAATCTATAGTTTTTAGAATTTTTGTCTGTCTGTGAAATTTAGTATGATGATAGCTGGTTATCCCCGTCAACATATAGGATACTTCTTACTGCGGGAAAATATCTCATCTCTGAGAAATCTATACTAAACGTTAAAACGTAACTAAGGACGAATCCGAGCGGAGTGAGGTTGAGTCGCTAGTACAATATATTTCAAGGATAAGATATTAAAAACATCCGGTATACATTCCTCTACATTTACACAAGCTAACATGGAATTACTAATCAGTAAATAAAAAATATTACATAATATATGTATACAATAAGGTAAGAATAAAATTATATATTGCTCTTTCAAGAAAACAATGCTCACCTCGACAAGATGAATTCTGATAAAATTTTAATTATAATTATATAAATATCTTTTTACATAACTTTATTTATAATTAGTAGCTTCAATGGTTACTAACTACTAGGTTACAACCACAAAAACATAGAAAGTAAAAATATTTAGTTTTAAATTTATCTAACATTTGACTAACTAGGTCACGTCAATCGCTTCTAGGTATACAGTATTTATATGTACACTAGCGACTCAACCTCGCTTCGCTAGGGTTCGTCCCTAGCTTGCTTCCCAATATAAACTTTCATCCCTATTTTTACCCTTAAAGGATGATTTCCGGGATAAAAAGTGCTGTATCATTCCCAGGGTCTCAATCTATCTTCTTACCAAATTTCATATAAATCGGTTCTGTAGATCCAGAGATTACCCCCTACAACGTCACAAACTCACTAACAAACAAACTACCTCTTTATAATATTAGTATAGATATTTATTATACTCCTTAATTTGCAATGCACAATCAGTTTTCTCTGATCTCACGTTCGTGGCAGCGCGGGTCATTTGACGTGATAGAAAATTACCTTTAATAATCGATAACGACATCTGAAGATGAAATCAAATATGGTAAATAACACGGAAATATCAACATGTCCTTTAAACTGTATAAAGCTAATACCTATAAAGGTAACATCACACTGACTTTTTATGTATATAAGGTACCGCCGGAAACCATTGAACATAAGAATTTAATAGAATTCCAAAGTACTCATACATCAAAACCCCAACAAAATTGTTGGACCTAACGGGAAGTTAAAATTTTGACAACCAAATTCCTGTAATATTATAATCACTAAAAATGGTTTTCCTTATAATTAATTTATTAATTAATAAATTAGAAAAAAATGTTTTTCCTATCAGAAAAAGGGTGGCGAAGTTGTATAAGAAACAATATTTATCGGGTAATTAATAAAACTATAATACATATTAAATGAGTAGTGTAAAATTAAACGACTGTGAGCCTAACTAATACTACCTATATAAAAAAGCATAGGTCATGGGTTCAGTTCTCGCTCGGGGGAAATTATATATAAGTACTCGTATATACCAAGCTGAAAGGTTAAGAAAGATTATCTACTAACTCTCAATAAATAATATCTCAAAGCTAAAACCAGACGGAATAATGAAAATAAAAATAAATGTATGAAAAATATGTGACTTGGTACACGATTTTTCACTTTCTATAGTGTTTTAAAAAGTTAAAATAAATAACATAATATCGCAAATGAAAATATTTATGAGCAAAAATAATTCCCAATTTACAGTCTTTCTTTGCTAAGACAAATAAATACTGATTCAAATAATATTTTAGCCTTAATGAGTAAAGCAAAAAAATTTAAAATTTAATGAATATTGATATCGTTCTGGTGCAGTGGTGTCGAGTCCATTGAAGCTTGTTCGAAGATGGTGGGTTAGATTCCTGAAGAAAACTACATTTTTACTTCATTTTTACATAACTCGAATTTACGATTTCGCAGAAAAGTCCGCGATAGCATGTCTCCTAAGGTACACTTTCAATAACAATTTTTGTTTATTCAAAACATACCTCGGACGCACCCAAGTGTTTTTATATGTACATATATAGTTTTGTAATAAAAAAAATCATGAATATCATCATCGTAATCATAGTAAACAGTATTTTGATATTACGAACAAGGAAGCCTATACCCCATAATCCACGCCATATTTCTTCTCGTACCATATCTCTCGTGCGTCTTCCCATTCTTATTCATCTACACATACGATGATCTATTAAATGTAATATACTTTTTATTATGCTTTTAGTAGCAAATTGTGGAAGGATTTTCATATGCCAAAAGTAGGATATTTGACGATGATTAAATTTTCCTATATTTTCCCTTGCTTAAAAGTGGATGTGACGTCATGTTTATTCCCTTTTAACCGACTTCCAAAAAGAAGGAGGTTCTATGTTCGTCTGAATGTATATTAAATATGTTCACCGACAAAAAGAAAAAAAAACATGAAATTTAAATGTAAACAGATGTAAATTGTCCTTTTTACCTACTTCTAATTGTCATATTGACTTTTCGCGTCTGTATTTCCGATGATAGTAGATCCAGTAATTTGGTATCATCGAGCTGATCTGATGGTGTGAAGCCAGAGGTAATGGAACTCTTCAACTGCTTCTAGTAAATACTTTGATGTTGGGCTGATTTGGTTTAATTTAATCAGCCCCATATGTTAGACTTGGATTTTAGAGCTTGATTTTTACTGTTTCTAAAATATAGTTTTTTTTGTTCGGTAAGAGAGAAACATCAAAAATATCATATCTAAAAACAAAGGCAAAATATGATTAAGAGATACCATGACACGAAATCAACGGAAAGAAGCAAAAAGGAAACAAAAAATGTCACAGAATTACGGAATTTTATAACAGAAACTCTTTAATATTAGGTCAGTAAAATTATTCAGTGTATAAACGAGGACAAGATGTGATATGAATGATTACGTTAACATTACAAGTTTTCATTTTCACGCATCGTCGGCCACGTCGAAGCGATTCACCAGATAATCTTGTCTCTTTCCTACATGCTAGCAGATCGGCTCGGGAATACTTTGCAATTTTAACACAGATTACGGATCTCTTATACACAATTTCACATCAATTAATCGTGATACTAAAGAAGTTGAACTAGGGTTTAACTAGGTTCCCCCCCAACGTGCGTTCACCTTGTCGTGGTGGGGGGGCTCAGTAGTGTACTCACGAAGCCAAGAAACGTACAGGGAGGTGGCCCGCTTCGGTGGGCGGTGGGAGGCGGCCTTCTTCGGAGGGTGGTATACCATGCGGGTTGCTCCTGGTACTTCTCTGATAGCAGAGTGGACCGTGGAGCAACCCCGTGGTTGTTGTGGTCTGCTTCGGCAGACCTGCCGTCGGGGCGTCGTAGTTGAATGCGTAAGCGATCCTGCGACGCCCCATTAAGACGGGGGAAGGTTTTGTTGGGTTTTAGTGGGTAGTACTGGCTTCGCCGGTGAGTCCCACACTTCGTGCGTAAATGCATTTCCCAA